AAAACTACTGAACAGATTTGGAAAGTTGTAAAAATATTTGTGTGTGTGTGTGTGGGTGTGTGTGTGTGTGTATGTGTGTATGTGTGTGTGTGTATGTGTGTGTGTGTGTGCGTAATTGCGTGCGTGCGTGCGTGCGTGCGTGCGTGCGTGCGTTCGCGAGCGCGTTTGAGTGCGCGTGCGTGTGTGACGTATTATAAACGTTAAAGTTCGTGAAGTATTACACTTGTTCGGTAAGTGCCCTTTTTATAAAATAATATAAATTATATATTTATTACTTAATAATTTCATTAATATAAATAAATAGTTTAAACATATAAACATGTAACACACTATTGCCTTGTCCCAAATAAAGCCGAACTATAGAAATTTGTAAACTGAAATATTTCAATTCACAGGAAAATATTCTTTTATACGCTTACACTAATACAAAAAGGCATACTCATCATTACAAATATTTGCACAACCATTAGTAAGGCGTGTTAATGTGTTAAAGTCACCAAGGTCGTCATTAAATTAAAGAAATCGGAATTATTATTTTAATCAGATTTTAAAACTGAATTAAATAAAAAAAGCATATTAAAATGAAGGCCACAATTTAAGATCACGTTACATAGGAACAAAGAGCAAAACAGATGAATTTCGAACTTTCTTTTTGAAGGTATTTGAAAATTGTACTATCGAAACCCGATACTAGCCGATACGCATTATCGGTAAGTGGTCATATCGAAGGCCTCTACGCCATCTCCATTTTATTATTTTCTTCATAGTATATCAATTGCCAAACCATTACCAATTCGAAAGTATGCACTTGACAAATGTTTCTGTGCCCAATAATATTTTCATATAAAAATTAAAGTAAATTCTTTGCTTGAACTTGCGTGCATGTTTAAACTTGACTATATCATAATTTTTTGTTACTTATAAAATGTATAAAATAAATTAAAATTACCTTATAATAATTTATTTTTTCGTTCAAACGTTATCAGTGGGTATCACAATGCCCATTTAGCATCCCACACTGAGTTTTAGGGAATGAAGAGAGATGTTTAAAATAGGGAATTTACATAAATCATAATTATGATTCGTATACTCACCCGAGATTAACGGACATTTCGCGCTTTCGGATAAAAAAAGATTTTTCCAAATCAGTTTATATTTGACGGAGTTATAAGGTAATTAACATAAATTATTATGAAGTAAAAAATATAGCCGAATTGAGCTTTTTTTTGAAATACTGATTAGACGAAAATTGTAACTAGATAATATAAAAATAATAAATTCTTTTTTGCAGTAACAAACATAAAAAAGATATCTGTATATAGAAGATTTTTAATAGAAATGAGGGGTCTTAGATGTTAAAACAATAATTTTTAAAAATTTTATTTGTCTGTATGTTTTTCCCGATATAACGAAAAAACTACTATACTAAATTGAATGCAGTTTCCACACTTGTATTTCTAAATATCTAACTTAAAATCTGAGGGTTATCTTGATACGCCATCTAAAACTTTCATTGGTTTTCCTGACATGCACGTGTACAGAATAACGGTAAAAACATTAGTGAACTATAATAATATAATATGAACAATATAGTGGACTATATAATAATGTGACTTTCTAATCTGCCTTACCTTTTTGTGCAACTTGGAATGACTTCCTTTTATATAAAACTAAAGAACTTCTTAAGATTCCTTTTATAATTCGGAGGATTTAGGTATTATTTCTCTATACCCTGTAAATTCACTGCCATATCCCACCCTTCAAACCGAAACACAGTCATGCAAACATGACTGCTTCACAACAGAAACATGAATGGGACAGAGATGCCCAAGCAAACGACTTTTGTACAAGTCTCCCTCTGGTATATATATATAAATATCTATATTATAAGCACTGGTTTGAATATACCAATGAGGCATGGAGTTTTCCGTGTCTATTCTTCACGCATATTAGCTGTTATACGTCCTCTATTAAATCTTTTATGTCGGCCGTCCATTATCATCCGGCGTTCGATGCAAGTACATAATATGCTTCTACATGTCATTAATAATTAAAATTAATAACATGTAGAAGATTATTATGTTCAAAGTATTCGGTTGAAACTAAAATATATATCGTCAATATACCTATATAAATGCCCCTCTGAATTATTAGGCTTACACTTCGGATATAACTATCTCTAGAAACAAATAATAAAGAAACTAATAACCAGCTTAAATCCCTACTATAAAAAAACATATTGAAGTATGGGATATGATGAAAAAATTTTTTATCTTACGATGTGTGAGAAAGGCAAAAAGAAAAAGTCACCATACCATACATAATTACAATATAGTCAGACATACATACAATAAAAATGAAATTATAAATATTCTAGTTTTCCCAATCATAGCACCCTACAACATTTCCTATGTTCAATATTAACGAAATTCCAAAGCCAATTGATCCAAAAAGTCTTTCTTTACAGCTTTAAAGCATATTTTACACTTTTAAAATTAAAGTAATTCAGAAATTAAATAATTTCTGAGTCATTAATTATTTTCACTTAAATCTCCTATTCTTAATATCAATTGGTCGATGTCATCTGATAAAAGTTTATTTTATATTTAATTTATTATTTGCAAATGAGTAAATAACATTATAACGCCAACAAATAGAACACTAAGACCTTTAAAATAATTAAGTAAATAATTCAAAATTACTCTGGGTTGAATCGTGATTAAATAATAGGTCTACATTGGGGGGAAAAGGGATTGTTAGTAATGGAGGCTAAGAATCCCATTGCTAGCAATATACCCAACCAGGTCGACCTCCTCGCGGTTCCCCCTGGAAACTATCATGGTTAATTCCTGATGTACTCATCATGATGGGGTAACTGGCCTGTTTTCATTCTCATCTATCACCCTTCACTGGTGCTCCGCCAGCGTATCCCGTTAGCGCAGGCGGGGTTACCATACCATTTTCATCTATCAAAAAAAAAATGAGTCTATATTTGATAAAAAAAATAGTTGAAAAGTAAATGTGATAAATTTATAGTAAAGAACAGGAAGATGTCATAAAATATTCATTAATGTTTTTTTCAGTCAATCGCTCAGATTATACTTGTATTTTGAACAATATAATTTTTATTTTGAAAATTTCAAATATTTAATCCAATAAAAAGATTTAACATTTTTTTAGACGTATATGGTAATTTCTTCTTTTTTCTTTAACTCCTTATACAGTTTCAGAATATGAAAGTAAAACCATATTCGCTTAATTAGTAGTTCTTTCTTTTCTTTAGTTTGTTGTATTTAGTGTTATTTACTTGTTTTATCTTTAAGAAATTACTATAAAATCCGAAAAAAATTAGATTTTTCATTATGTTTAATTATTACAAAAAAAAATATTATATACATTTTATGCGTGTATTGAAATTAAAAGTATGCGTGTATATACGTATTTCCGTGAATGAAATGTTTCCGCTTTACAATTTATTCTAAATTGCCTGTTCCGCATCGTACGCCATTACTATGACGTCATATCATAACGTGGTAGCCATGTTGCAGGACCGATATTTTTTCGTAGAATTTTGCAATTATAGGTGTAATATTCTTTCTAATACTTTATTACAACATACTTTCGCCTAAAATAACAATTAACCTACATTAGCACTATACTGAAAAATATATATGAAATTAATAGGTTTAATCAATTTTATTTTTCTCAAACATAAGTCTTCTTTAGAGAACGTATCAAAACTATAATTTCAGCGTAGAAATGCACTTAGCAATCTAGGTGTCCTACCAGTTCGGAGTGACCTTAAAGAAACCTTTTACCTTCAATTGTTATTTTAAGGTTATTTCCTTTTCGCTAAAAATTATATCATATTAGTATAGATATAAATGATGTGCGATTAATTATTGCTAATTACACGTTTAGATGTTTAGAACTGATTGTGAAATAAAGAACATCTAATTTGACATTTATGTGTGTATCAAATTCATACAAAAAGGGGCTTTACTCAGTGGTTATTAAAACAATATATTTATTTATCATATGTAAGCAACAATATTAGCAGATGTTTTATAAAATCCCTTTATCCAGTCAATTTAGTTTGAATACTATTGGATACTCACAGTAAGTTAACCTACTTTTCTAGTTTCAGAAACTAGGTGTAAATGTACCTAACAAAAAGGAATTGTACTACACTAAATATAAGGTTGTCCAAATTATTGTTACTTATTGTATTCGGAAAGTGATGGATAAGACCTTTGATCAACAATTTATACGTACATGTATATGTATACATCATGAGTTAATAATAGAATAGAATTGTATTTATGAATAAAGGTATAATTATATATATACAAAATATAATTACTTATTTTTCATACTGTTTCATCATCATCATCATTATATCAGCCTTTAAATGTCCACTGATGAACATAAGCCTCCACCTTGAGGGGTTTTGCCAGTAGCACACCTGCAATGCCGCTGGTGTTGTGGGTGATCATGGGCGGCGATAGTCACTTACTATCAGGTGAGCCGCATGCTCGTCTGCCCCCTGTGTTGTAAAAAAAAAATAGTTGCCACGCTTGGCAGGCGAATTGATAACCGTAGTTAGGCTTTAGAGATGTCCCTCCCGTAGTCGGTTCTTATGACATCCACGAGAAAGGAAGGGGTGGCCTATTCTATGTCGGGACCACATAAACTGTAGCGTTATATTTTTTTAGAATAAATTATTTTACCTAGATTAAATTGTGAAAGCTGTGAGCTTTCAGAATTTAGTCTAGGCAATATGTCTTCAAAAATTTATATACACGTTCTAAACCAGTAAAATCGTTGCATAGTAAGATTTTAGCATACAGTTTAAATATCTACTAGGTTTCAGAGAGGTATAGGTAGTTTCATCAAGAATTAACACAAAACTCAATAACTGACATTTGCCATGCAACATCACAGGATATCATTCAAGTAACGGCAACAGGAATGTTAGGAGAGCTACAGGTTGTACTTACCGTTAACAAGAAATCAGACGTACACCTATTGAAGAAAATATAATGTTAACCCTCTAAAGACACATCGACATGCTTTGCTACTTTTTTAATGCTTACATGTAACACTCGGCGGAATAAAGTGGTGAGTGTTACGAGCGGTATCCCGCTCGCTCCGTAACGCACGAAGCTTTTGACTACCGTCGGGGAACTGGCTAGATTTACACCGCCAAACTTACCGGTCATATTCTGCGCATGTACTGGCGAATAAATAAATTATATACAAGTATACATATACACCGATTTCGGAAAATATTTGTATTATACATTGTCTATTATATTTTCGAAGTGAGTAACGTTTAATTGAGTAAACCTCAATGAATAATTTAAGACACGAAACCATTTTGGGATTAGGATTACTTTGTGAATTTTCAGTGGATAGGCAATTTAAGGATTTAGTTAATTTAATGACTTTGTTGTTTACAAATTATCTATAACGTAAAATCATTAAACCTTCCAAGAACAGGTAGTTACTTATTTGCAAAACTTTTTAAGACTCTGAGGTGGTAGATTAATATAAGACCAGTCCCTTAGTAACCATTTACTCGCCTGGAATGTCAAGGGCTTCGCTCTATAAAATTACGAGACGAGAATTGTTTAACTTTGGTAATTTAATCATTACAGTTATAAGTAGTATTTCTTAGCTTCTTGATCGAATTAATTTTTATTTATAAAATATCAAATACTTAAACAAATTAACAAACAGCTCATCAGCAAGAAATTGATAATCAGCGTGTATGGACAGAAACAGGAGCCATGGACGTCAGAGAATACACTGTGACACCTGTAATGAATATATGTAATTTCAGTGTCCTTACAAATAGAAACACAGCTTTATGAGCACTATAACAGCAACACGAAAGGGATAGAAGTACCCATAAGGACGACTTTTGTATAATAGTTATTGAGTCTCCCTCTGACCCTTATTGAGCCAATTGATACAATGTTGTAATGTTATGTCAATTTTTTTTATATCCAGTAAAATTTCCCCTGGTAGATAATTAATTCCGCATTAGGAATAATTGAATGTAGTTGCACCAGACTAGCAAAAAAATATTACTTTCATTACCATTAAACACGTTAATCCCTAAGGTCATGTGGTATTTTCATAATATGCTTACGACATTAATCCTTAATAGGGTAGTCGGAGACATTTGTCGACTATTATCGTTGTGGTAAACGTAACACTCGACACTGCCATGTTTTACCAAGCATATTTGAATCTAATATGCCAGAGTTTACAGCCATTACTTGGATTAATTTATTTGTTAACTGTGTGTTGCATGAGCGTAAAATTAATAAGAAGTTAAAATTAAATAAAAAATTTCAGTTCCAGTATACTACATACTTGTAAACTACATATTTCTACATGCATAAATATGTATTACTCTCTCAGCTTCGTACGGGTGATTTGATCGGGATTTGGTCCCATTTTATCTTATTTTTCCCTACAATTTTTTCTCTCATACAAACCTTATCCTAACAATTAGAAACACACCAAAAAAAGAATTACCCAAATAGGTATAACCTTCTGTAATGATGCGGTTACATTCGGCAATTGATTTTTATTTACGTACATTTAATTTATATTCCAAAATTTCATGACTAATTAAATTTTGATAGTAGGTACTATAGCGGTCCTATTTTAAAAGGTTTTTAGTTGCAGATTACCGCTCTTTTTCATTCTATTTTACGTTTTGTATTTAATGTATCTTATGTCTTTATATATATAATTAACTATAAAATAAATGCAAGTTTAATTTTTCTCTTCATTATAATATTGTTTGCAATAAATCAATATTTAGCGACAAGACCGCCCATTGTTACCTGTCTACCTTGTTTCATGTAATTCTGCTTTTTTATTTACATATTTTATATTATTGTGTCTTTCTTTGAGAAGAATAATAAAGAGTTTTCGTTCATTTATTTATTCTTAAAATTATGAAAAATTCTTGTTTCAATTGAGTTATATGGAGGAATTCAATTTTATGATTATTCTTACCCATTTTGCGATTGGAAATGGAAATGTGAATCTGAAATGAATTTCTGTACATATTTCTCTGGGAATGTATATTGTTAACAAATTAATAATTATACATTAAATTTATTTATTCCTTACTAACTACATTTACAAAAAGTTTTTAGTACAAAAAAATTGGAGTTTATGCTATAAACCTTCAATTTATCTAATGTTATGGCCTGTAACTGACGGCGATAATCATTTACCATCAGGTGAGTCGCATACTCGTTTTCCCACATATTATTAAAAGCAGCATTCTCTTTTTGTCATTCTTTATATGTAATAAAAAGAGTTGTATGAATAAGGTTTTGTTACGATGACGTAATATTACAAGCAACCAAGGTGCACTTTATAGCGAGTCGTAACCAGGTATATAGATCAAGACAAACGACGCAATACCTCAATTTATATGAAAACTACATACCCAGATGTTATAAAAACTACCTATTTTTTATCGCAAACCACCTTCAGCACTCTTATAGAAATCTCAAATATCAGAACTTAACAGAAAAGGATAAATCCTTACGAAAATAATAATAAGATTTCTAATATCATTTTTTATAAATATTTCATGTAGGAACCAAGAATTTAAATTTGGACGAGTTCAAAAAGACTATTTTTAACTTATTGTACGTCTAAAAATTAAAACCCAAAAATTTGTGACTTCTATTTAAAATAATATCTGTGTAGAATAATATTGTTAATAACTCGATCTAACGACTCTAGGTACACCTCCAGGCACTTTCTTTGGAAATTAATAAAAATAAGTCCTTGTAAATTAACCACGATAGGCTAACTGATGTTTCTTAATCTTTGACTTTGTTTCTTAATCATCACTCATTGATACCAATGTCAGGGAAAGTTACTATTCATTTTTTATTCATATTAAAAAAAGCTTATCTACGATCATGACGTAGATGCAAGCATGAGTTAAATTGTTTTAAATGCCGGGTACGTACGTATTACAGCTGACCTATATAAAGGAAGCCATACTCCTTAGGGAAAGAGAAAACTCTCGTTATAATTCAAAAGTTACACTGAGAACATTCTACAAACGGCTATTTGAGAACTTAAGAAGATGGCGGTTATGAGTAGAAACTGCACTCCCAACTTAGGAAAAAGCACACTTTACGACACACTAACTCGTAACAAGACCATGATATACGCACATTGTGTATACATAATAATATAATAGTTGAAATACAATAAGACGTATAAGATTAAAATTAAAAAAATAATTAAATATATAAGATGGCTATAGTAAAACACTTTACTGTACTAGATTTTATTTTGTGGAATTCCATATCACTTGTTATTTGATTAAAATTATTTTGCTTAATTTCGCTGCCATTAATATGTGTGCAAAAACACTCGAAGAATAATTACTCTTATTATTACCAGACGTTCCACAACCTTCCCGTTACGTTATTACCAGAATTTCTACAATCTTCCATATTAGCCATCAACCTTCGGCTGGCATTCCCAAAGACAAACTATTCGGCAGTTTTGATGCTGAACGGTTAACTATAAATTTGCCTGAAAATGTCTTACTTAGAGGTAAACCACGTGTTGTAAAACATGCATGGATGAAATGATAGTTGGAAATTGATGGCTAATATTGAAGGTTGTAGAAATTCTGGTAATAATTTTAGTAGTCAATTTTCTAGGGTTGACAGTCGCACAAACAAAATTCTAATCAATTATCCTATAGTAGTAAAACATAACAAATACCCAAATTAATATCTTTAAATATTTAACAATATCAGTAATAATTTATTCCAGTTAAAGAAAATATTAAGACTCAACTCAACCATTAGAAGATTATGCAATGTTATTTGGTCTATTACATCACCAAGAAAATAAAACACATTTTTAAGGGACAATAAAAAGTTTTTCAGTTTACATTTTTGTATTTTTTGCAATATTATATATAATATTATAGTTTTTTTATAACACAGGGGGCAAACGAGCATGCGACTCACCTGATGGTAAATAACTACCGCCACCCATAATCACTCACAACACCAACGGCATTACAGTTGTGCTGCCGGCCTTTTAAAAAGGAATATGCTCTTTTGTTGATGGTTATGATGTCGTATCGGTTCGCAAATACTGCTGCTGGAAGTTGATTCCAAAGAGTGGTTGTACATGGAAGAAAGTGCCTTGAAAAACGCATAATGGAAGACTGCCACTCGTCCAGACGGTTGGGATGAAATTTATGGCGGATTGTACTGTAGTGAAAATCAGCAGTAGGTATCAATCTGAACAATTCCTCAGATGCGATATTTATAAATCCGAATAAACTACGATAAAGCAAAAAAATTTGTTCATTTAAACACGCTAACTTCTTAAACTATTAGTTGGATTTGTCTTGTCTTGAGCCTTGAGGAAGGTATTTATTTATTTAACAGTACTATACGACTATAGAAGAAGCCGTGAGATACAGATAGTTGTGAGAAAGACTCTGTTTTCCGCGCTTAGCCTCTCATTTGGGCCGTTGTGCGTAGATACAGATAGTTATAACATAATACAAATAATTTTGTGACATTTGAAGTCGCTGTTCCTTTTGTATGACAAAATCTTAAATTATTATATCTGTATTTATATTATATAAGAGAATATTAACGAAGTTAACACCGCCAACATTGGAAAAGGTAGTTAAAAGTTTCAGTTTCTACTGAGACTCGTCTTTAAACAAAGTGTTTTCACGTTCATTGATTGGTTTTCAAAAGTTCTGTAGATCTCTACTTGAAATTAATTAGGTTTATTGTCTATCTATCTTCACGCTAAGTCCGTTAAGAGACGAGTTTAATATCGAGTATACGATTCTGTATTATGCCATTCGTCAAGTTTCAAAAGTGTAAGCTCTGTAGGATGTTCTTAAGTCGTTAATTAATTTTAAGTATTTAGGGACATCCTAAGTACTTAAAAGTGACTCTGGAAAGATTTTTAATATTATAGTTTCTGACTCATTTTTATTACAAAATACATTAAATTTTTAACCGAATTCTGTAAAGAATAGTGGTGGGAATAGTCAATTTATTTAAATTCTTTTAAGATGTTTTCTACTGAAGTCGTGATTCAGGTTTGATGCTAGGTCGTAGAATAGATGAGTCTTC